TGATGTGACCATTTTTCTATTCCATAGACATGTTTTCGTCCTTCCAAATTTTGACCATTAGTTTGTGCATCCGTTTTAACAGCTCCTCTTCTTCTTTTGTGACTAGTTCGTTGTTAATTTCATCTGGCCCCGGAGTTTTGTTTAATTTAAGTTGCTTTACGACATCTATGTATTATTGGATAGGAAGGTGCCAGGTGCATTTTCCTCTGCATGTATATTATCTCTTATTTCTTCTGCTTCTGCATATGTCTCTTGGCTCTTTATATAGATCCGTAAAATGGTTTTCCCAATCTTTTTTATTTTTTTTACGGTTGGTTTGTTGGCACTATATTGTTGTTTTATATATTTGAACAGTCTTTTGTTGTCCTTATTATTTATTTCTAACTGTTACATTTGTTCAGAGATCTATGTCTCTTTCTTTCTTCTATAGAGTTTAGTGGCTTCTTGATTTTCTGTTCGGTATTGTTCTAGTTGTTCTTACCTTCCATTCTCTAGTCATTCATTTCTCACGAGGTATTTAATTTGGCTTTTTTGTGACACTCTTCAGTAATCCATGCTGTCAATTATTTGTTTTGTCGGGGTTCTATTATTTGTTCTGCAGTTTTATTATGCCGTTTTTTATGTTTTTCCATTCCTTTTCGATATCTTTATTGTTGAATCTTCTTAGTTTCTGTCCTATTTCTTCTTTATACTGTTTTGTTTCTTGTGTTTTTAATTTATCTATGTTTAATTTTTTCTTTTTCTTTCCTTGTTAATATTTGTTTTGATTATTTTCATCTTTAATTTTGCTATTAGTAGTATGTGATCAGTGTTCACATTTGCTTCTCCAGAAGATCTAACATCTTGTGCTATTTGTGTCCACTCTTTGAGAATCAACACATGGTCTATTTGATTGCCATCCATTCTTCCCGGTCTTATCCACGTTATCTTGTGTTTATGTACTGACTATATATGTTTGTTGTAGATGCTAGTTTGCAGATTTTCCCCAGTTATCGTTTGTGACTTCATGTATGGTTTCTTTGCCAACGAGATTTCGGTTATAATTTTCTCTTTCTGTCACTTCTGGGGATATTTTGACGGGTTTCTTCTAGGAATGCTACTTTGTCTTTTTGGATTGCCTCTTTCGTAAGGACCTTGCAGTTGAGTATTGATATGTTTGCTTGTTTGTTCTATATTCTGATATAGGATATCCTTCCATTGACTGCTTTGCATTGTATTACTTTTTCTCTCAGTCTTCTATTCACTATAAAGGTTTTCCCATTTGTTTTTTCCTGAATAGTACATAGTAAAATTTTTCCTTGATTTTTCCATCGTATTTCTTGCAGGGCTAAAATTTCTAGTTTATATTTTTTCATTTCTAGGGCCATTTCTTATAGAATGGTTTTAACCATTACCTCTTTTCCTCCCATCACGATTATTTTTTTACTTTTGTGTGTCTTGTTTTGTTATTTTCGTTAGCCTTTTCTATTGCCAGGTCTGTTGTCTTTGTTTTCATAATTATAGGAATCGTCTCCATTCCGTATTAGTTTTTTTGAGCGTGTTTCATGTATCTTATTTTTGTTGTATTTCTTTGATTTTTTTCTTCTTTTGTTATTTTCCTAATTCTTGATTGTATCTCTCTCTCCGTTTTTGTCATTTTTTGATTCTTATATATGCTTTGTCCGGATATATGTTTGAGTTTACTTTTGTTCTTCAGTACAGACTTATCTGTATCTTTATCTATCATACTTTCCATTTTTGCGAGGAATATTTTATCACTAATTTTGGTTCCTTTGACAGTTTAATTTTTACCTGAATATTTGTTTCAATGAATTCTTCTAGTTTGTGTTTATTACTCTTATTATCGCTGGTGTCCATAGTTAAGCCTTTAACAATTATATTCTTTTTGACAGTATTTCACGCATCCTTTGGAACATGTTCTCATTTTGCTTACCGCCCCTATTTGATGATTGTAGCCTTGACCTTTCCAAATACCTCTTCTTCTTCATACCTATCTCTGCTTCTCCTTTTCCAATTTTCTTCACCGCTACTTTCATTTATTCTTGGCATTAGCGGTTTCTTATATACTCCGCCGCTTAAAATTTAAATGAAGGTAATCAAATCTAATATTCTTTATTATAACATAATTTAATGTTCGTTAAAATAAATCGAATTGTACACCTATTTCTTTAGTTGGGTACCAATTAACGTTTTTATTACACGTAGGACGCAAACAGTCAAAATCCAAATCAACTTTTCGGAAACCTTGACCTTTATTCGTACGGTGGTATAAAACGATTTATTTTCAACCTTATTTAACTATTTTAGCTTTACTTGTACTTACTTACAGTTTTCAATGATCTAGGCACTGCACTTGATTTTCAAATAGTATTCACACTTTCAAATAGTATTGTAATGATTCAAGTATGGAAAATTAAAACTCACTTTTTCCCAACTAATAGTTTGAAAATTTATACGGAGCACAAATTTATTAAGTTTTGCTTGTCTCAGTGGCCTAGGCCTCTCACAGTAACGCATACTTAAAGCATATATCCAACGAAATTGCCAAACCTTAAGAGAAACCACAGCAGATCATTATATCGATGAATGACTAAGCTCATTTCTTTCAATAATATATACCGCTGCTATCAATCACATGGGCAAATAAAAAATCTTAAAAAGAATTTCTCTTCCATGGCGGAATACAGAGTGCAATAAAATTATTAAACAATATAAAAACTCATTTAATAAAATGAAGCATTATAAAACCCTAGAAAATATTGTTGAATATATGAAATTACGGCCCGCAGGTAAATATATTACAAAATCAAGTAGACAAAAATCTTGGTAAGAATTTCTATCTACTATTATTAGCTCTATGCCTATACCTAAGTACTGTATGGAAGAATGTTTGAAAAGCATTGGGGGCTAACAGATTCATCAATACAGAATAATATTCGGCCTGGTGTATAAACTGCTTAAAAGTTTTTAATAAGTTTATCTATTCTTTGTTTCAAGTTAAGAAAATAACATTACGCTTATGGAGATCAGTGTTGCCAAAACTCTCAGACACTCTCTTTTGCACGGATGTCCAAGATATTCCCTTTGCTTGATTTTTGAATTTTCATTTTCAATTAACATTTAACTGTAAAATCAGAATAATTACTAAATAAAAGCCTTATTATCATTATGTAGTCAGAGAACGACATAAAATAGCTGACATACGCACATCGTATTATTTTAAGTTGCAATTAGTAATTAGATATACGCATTCCAAGTGGTCAATATTTTCTACTGATTTCTATGATTCATGGCATATCGTATTCTCACCGAAAAACAAATAAACTGTTGTTACTATAATTAAAATAAGATAAAATACAATTATCTTTTGTAAATACTATTTATCTAATTAAAATCATTTTCTCTACTTTTCATCTCTTGTTTCGAATGGGCACTTTTGGTCAATTACGTTAAAAAACATTAATTTAATTCATGTTTGTGGAAACGAAAATACAAATTATACAACCCTAAATTGTGCTTGTGTGTGTCGTGGCAACGCCGCGTTTCTATCGTCCATAAGAAATACATGGCCCTATCTCCGCAATGTTATTTTCTAAACGTGGAACGTAGTATAGCAATGGTTTGATTTTGTGAAGCGGTCACCATTTGGACACGTGGTATTATCGGATAGGTGCCACATTCTTAGGAGCTGAAATCGGTTTCTAGACATAATTTTCGGAACCATACAATTTTTGTAGAAATTTTCAATCCTTGTGCAGTGCAGTCTTTGTCGATAGAAGTGAGCCTCACAAGTCACATATAACCCACAAGGACAATAAATTGTATCAATTCTTTTCTACTGGTTGGAACCCATCGATGTAGTCTAGATTCGTTACTGATATCATCAGTATCGCACAAAATCTAAGTAGTTTGATTAACCATCTCATCTATAACTTTATCGTTCACGAAAATTCGAAAAATTATAGGGTGACAAATTTGTTAGAAGAGCTGCAGCGTAATTTGCCTGTAATCCAGCTTCCGCAGAATAGTTGAAAATCTTGTGATTGCCAATAAGTTTTTCCATGAGAGTTGTTAGTATCCATCAGCAGAATATTCCTGGCTTTGGTGTGAAAATTTCCCTTTTTGCGATAAGAGTGTTTAGCTTTCTAGGTTTATTTTTCAAACTTATTTCTTCTTCGGCTTCTGACCCATCTGAGCTATATGCAATTTCTTCATCGCTGGACGGTAATAATAGAGAGTCTAGGTCAGAATCAAAGGAAAAATCATTAGGTTCGTTATCTAACAAAGAAATAAAATTTTTTGTAACCGTGAAACTGTCAAAAAAAAACGTAAATAATGCAATTTGCAATTTATTTAAATTTTGCAATAGATTGGTTTTGTTTTACTTCATTATTTTTTATTTATATTGACGATTTGTATAATTTTAGTAAATTGTATTAGTTATTGTTTTTTTCTGACTCGTTGTAAACTTTGCCTAAAATCTTTCGATATATCTATGTTGTCTACATATTTTTCAATGACAATAAAGCATATTTCTATTCTATTCTACTAATAAATAAAGGTGTATTTTTCAGAATATTATCTTGCTTATTGTGTAGGTAAGTACTTCAAACAGTAATCCTATGCAATCAACTTACTTTGCCAGTCTCCTTATTGCTAGTGGCCTTTGTTCCAGCTCTGATTGTAGATTTAAAACAACTAGGCTGGTTAGCGTGAGTTTTTGGGAAATATTCTTACCTGACACAAGTTGTTGATAACCGTATGTGGGGAGCTTTAGTTTGAGGGGGATTTTTTTTCTATGTAAGCACTTCCTAATCAGCCACCATCGTACCGATGCTGTAGATACAGAGGAAAGCGCGGAAGTGAGATCCAGTGACCAACTCTGGGTGTAACATCACAATGTAATTGTGAACTAATATACGATGTTTTAAAACCGAAAAAAGATATATTTATTTAAATATATATAAAAATACAAACTTTTTATAATTATTATTTTTTTTTCAGAATTGTAACTTAAATAACTATTTATATTACAAGTTGTTATAAAAGCTGTCAAACTCTTTCTCGTAGGTTTTATAATCTTTATTATCGAAGACTCGATTTGAAGGAATGTATTTTGTGAAAGGCATTTCAACCCACATATCCATCACTTTCTGTGAAATGTTTGAAGCCGACAAAGTCTTCTTTGATGTTGACGAGGCTATCAGTGAATGGAGTTGTTCTATTGCATTGAGTATATAGCTCTCTTTATCTTGTAAATGTTTGAGAGAGTCTGAAAACAAAATTAAACATTAAAATTTTTAATAATATACAGAACTAAACTATATAATATAAAACTCAGAACTATGTGAATAATACAATAACAAAAAAAAACATTATTAATTGCGGATTTAAAGGCAGTTTCAAATCGAAGACGTTCAAAATAAATATATGAGCACACGTCATTATAAACAAACAAACACACACACACACACACACACACACACACACACACACACACACACATATACATATAATATATATATATATATATATATATATATATACACATAGTGTATATATAATATAGAGTGATGAGTGTCTTACCACCCGGCTTTTTAACGTAAGAGATAGAAAACACAGTTACCTTGTGAAATAAAAAGAGATGAAACTCGTAGAGGTGGGAAATAATCGATAGAAACCTATAATTTACATTACATTACCACTATCGATAGTCTCACACCTTTAGACGTTAGCTTCAAGCTAACTAGTATACTTTTTCCAAAGTCAATTTTCCAAGTGGCGGCTTTTGAGCTTCTTTGATGCAAATGCCGACCATTGGCGTGGAAATTAAGAAAAGGGATCAGTTCATCAAACGCATATTTCAAGAAAAATCATAATTTTTATTAATTTTTACATAATTATATTCAGGAAAATTTTTTTTACAGAACAATTTTTTAAACAAATTCAAAATATCACCTTTTGTGCTCCAAAAAATATTTTTTAGGTTTTTGGGTGACTCTAAATAAGATCTATGTCATTTTTCTCAAAAGTTAATAGTTTTGGAGATATAGGCGATTTAAAATCCGAAAAATGCGATACCTAATATGCATTTTCGAGGCTTGAAAAATATGTAAATGAGTATTTTTGAGATTCAAGAGTATTTAAACTAAAGTCTCGACATTGATTTTGGTGAGAAATTGGGGTAATATTTTCCGTAGCAGAAAAAGGAGATCTTTTGAATTTGAATTGTTTCCGGCAAAAATGTCCGGCACCCTTCAACCTTCGATTTGTTTAAACGCGGTATTTTTGAATAGGAATCTTCAAAGGACAGAATCAGTTTTTTTTTTCAAATGTGAGCGGGCTCACAACATCTAATAAATAACAAATTAATTCTTTCAAATTAAAGCTTGTTAATTTTAGTGATTTATAAGAATATTGGACTTATTATTTAGTTTTTACATAAACCATAATATTTTTTTACAATTATCTGTAAATAATGGTTCATTCTGTCAGAAAATTTTAAAAGATTGTCTATCCAGCAAGGACAGAAAATCTCAAAATATTGTCTGTCCAGCAAGGACCACGAGGAGGTATGAGCCTTCCTTGCCAGGAAAGGAAAGGGTTAGGTATGTTAGTAAGAATATAAAGTTAGTTTTTTTTTCATTTTGTTTTTATTATTTTTTTTTTTTTTGTTTTTATATTTTTTTTTGTTTTTTGTTTTTTTTTGTTCTGACTCTATACAGTGTGTCGCATTTAAGATGAAGATACCCCTATATTTCGGCTATTAGAATAAATACCAATTTGAAATTTTGCACAGTCATACAGGTTGTCAATTCACATTTTTTAAGATAATCAACTGAAATTTAATTTTTAAACACGGCCTACTGTTAATGCACAAACAGGGTGAATCTTCAATATTTTGCTTCGAGTTAGAGATATCGGAAAAAGTTATTTGGAAAAGATGTTCCAAATATTATTATAACCCCACATAACAAAGTTTTATGTCAAAATTCGCACTTTTACTTTTTTCAATAATTGAAGAGCTTATTTCCAGTGTCTTAAATCCAAAATTTCGATTTTTTTAATTTTCTTTTTTTAAACTTTATAGATTTCTTCAAGTCTAAAATAAAGTTATATGTACCAAAACAACTTCTTATTTGCCATTTAAAAGTGCATATGAAAATTGTAAAATTGTATAATTTGTATGTTAAATTTGTATGAAAATCTGTAATTTCATGGATTTCATTATATGGATTTAAGACACTTTGGAAATAAGCTCTTCAATTGTAGTCAGGATTCTAAAACGGACAGTTGGCTGTCCCGAGATGCATCTTTAGACAGCCAATTGTAGATTTAGGATCGAGATTACAAATAATACTGAAAAACTAAAATTGCGAATTTTGTCATGAATTTTGGAATGTGCGGTTACAATAAGTGGAATAACTTTTCCAAATAAGTTTTTCCGATTTCTCTAACGCGAAGCAAAATATCGAAAATTTACCCTGTTTGTGGATTCGCAGTAAGCCGCGTTTAAAATTTAAATTTCAGATAACTAACTATCTTAAAAATATGTGCACTATCAACATGTATGACTGCAAAATTTCTAATCTGTATGTATTTTGATAGCTGATATATAGAGGTGTCTTCATCTTAAATGCGACACACTGTATAATAATGAATACTAGTGTTCAAGATGCATCGCGATAGCTGTAAAGAAATTAATTAGAAGGACTAAAAAGAATCGTCAGAGTCTTCTGAAGTCGAATCGTTCCCAGGTTGTATAACTATTGGTGCTATTGCCGGTAAAACAGGATATTCATTTTCTATTTTTACAACATGAGCTTCGCAACTTTTCCACACATCGCTATTAATGCCACTAATTACTTCTCGAATATTCTCAATGGCCACTGCGCTTAATGTTGGTGACTGATTATATTTTCGCAATCGTTTTTTTACGGTACCCCAAACCATTTCAATTGGATTAAAAATGCAATAGTATGGAGGTAATCGCAAAAGAGTATGGCCGTGCCTGCTGCAAATGGTGTCAATAACGTATTCGTTTTTGAAATTCCGACTTTTGATCATTCTAATTAATTCTTTTTTTACTGGAATCTTTTTAGGAACAGTGATATTTTTAAGTTCCATAAATTTTAAAATTTCGTCCTTTTTCGTGTTATTATTAGGTATTTTATTTAATATGCGGGAATGATACGACGCATTATCCATAACAATCACTGAATTCGGCGGAATATTGGGCAAGAGTTGTTCAACAAACCACTTTTCAAATAAATCGGCTGTCATATCTTCGTGATAATCGGCAGAAGACTTTGTTATATTTTTGGCCGACAATAGCAATGCATTAGATACAAAACCATCTTTGCTTCCGGCATGAAGAATAATAACACGTTTTCCTCGTGAACAGGGTGTATTTAATGCACACTTGTTTGTGTTGTCAACCCAGCCGTACTTGACAACATCATGCGTATCGAACCAGGTTTCATCTAAATAGATTATGTTTCTGTTTGAATTACGATACTGTTTTATTTTACTCAAATACTCTCGTCGAAGTTCAACAATACGCCGAGATTCCATTATTACCATTCGATTATCTAATTTCTTATATTTAAATCCACAACTTATCAAAATCTCGCGCAGTGTTTCCAAAGATGTATAATTATATTCAGGGAAATCTCTCAATTTTTCACGAATCAGTTCTAAAGTAGGCACTCTATTTTCTTTGTAAAAATTGTAAACTGTTCGCTGAATAACGTCTTTTGCAGCAGTGTCAATCCTACCCAATTTTTTATTTGGTCGCTTTCGTTTTAAGGAATGATCTGTAACAATGCCTAATTTAATAATTGTATATATCGTCTTATACCCGATTTTTGTTAATACATGAATTCTCGAAACAATTGCATTATCAGCCATCAAAATATTTTCTTTTTTCAAACACTCATACATATTTAAAACTATTCTTTGGGATTGTACGTGCAAATCTTTATTTTTTAATTCGGGGCTGTCATTAACATAATTGTCATTATCTATTGATAACACAGAAGTTGATGCATCTTGATCATTCGTATCAAATGGTCTCCAAAATGCCATCCTAGAAAAATATAATATTACTTACCTTATTATCCGCCTCTGATAGCTGCTTGCAAAATGAACTATTTAGGGTGTCATATAGCCAGACAAACAGGTGTTCCATCAAGATTTATTGCGATGCGCTTCGCTGTTGCCAAGTTTAAAATTATTGAATGTAACTTTAATACCATAATTAATATATCTGCAATTTTTCATGTTTCCAGGTAAGGTATAAAATCAATAAAATTTGGAAAAAAATAATACAATTCTTGAAACCGTTTTTCAGAACTTGGATTCTTAAAAGTTGTCTGATTTCTTAAAAGTCGATCATTATATCTATAAGAGTATTACCGCTAAATTCACCAACATGGCAACGTCGATATAGACCGAACATCGAAATCACCTCGAAATTCTGTCCAGACTACAATGTTGCCGATATTCGAAAATTACTTAGAGTATAAGTTATATATACAAAGTTCACAGTTGCTTTAATTCATTAGTGAAGAGTCCATGGAAATATTAGTACCTAGTTAATTAATTTATATAGATATATTTTTTGAGAATATGTTCATATTATTTTTTAAGAGTGTCGTTCGTTGACTAGCAATTGAATAATAACGAATAGAGAATAGAGAATATTTTTTAAATATAACCTTAGGAATTTTAGGAAATATGTCTGACAACCTTGATTTGAAAGGCGGTCTCTTTGAAATCAGAGTGAGGCATATTTATGTTGGAAAATTATTAGTGATGTACTATATTAGAAGTGTTTAAAGTTGCTTTAAAACCCGGCAAAATAGCGAAAAGGATAGAGAGAGATTCAGTTGTGAGATAGTACGAGATAAAGCTAATTCTTAGACGTGGCTATTTAACTTCAGTCATAATTATACGGATGACCTCGAAAATATTTTATTTAATAATTTCTGATGTTAGATAAATGATGAATAAATTAAGATATATTATAGTAAAAAACATTAATTAGTAGCGATTTTAAATTATAAATCTTTAAGTTTATTTAATAATAAAAATAACTCAATTGAAATATTTGACTAAACTAAAGGTAGGTATGTTCTGTCCGAAAACAATTATTGTATGTGGAATTGTTGGTGTAATAGAGACGTGGTCTATTGACAAGAAGATTGGGGTTCAATTCACATCAAGGATAAAAATTTTGTTTTACTCAATCAAAAAATAATAGAAAATATG